TCTGCTGCATCAAAAATGGAAACAACCAGTACGTGCTGATGAGCTAACAAGTAATTAACTGCAATTCTCAGTTTCTTGAGTGTCGCCGTCATATCAATTCCTTTTATGTCTGGCGATGGTAACCCTTTCGATAGCTAGTCAGCGATCGATCACTGGTCAAATAGAATGCATTCTTGATCACCATCACAAGTTCTTCGATGCAACTTCCGCGATGACCAAGTCGTATTCTTTGTCCTTTTGAGACAAATCAAGAGTTTGAAAGAACTGAATCTGTTAACTACTCTTCTTTTATTTTTCTGTTATTTTCGCTCCTAAGTATCCAACTTATCTCCTTCAAGAAACAACGCACATGAGAGGGGATCATCAAGAAGGGGGACCATATAGAAGGAGGAATCAGATAGAAGACAGTATAGAAGAGGAGACCAGTTAGAAGAAGGACCATATATAAGGGGGGTCCGATTAGATGGGAGCCAGGTGTAATTTCGAAACTATAGACTCATGCTAACTATGGGCTAGTATGGAATCGCTTGAAACGGCGGTTGTTGATTTGTCCATCTACTCACCCATGTTTTTGTTTTCAGCGATGGCTTCCATCTATGTTGACAAATACTAAGGATGTTGACAGCAATGTTAGCAGTGATCCATAAGCTATCTTGCGGTATAGAAGGTGCTCAATGTGTTGCTGGAATGAACTCTGACGAAGATCGTCACCCTACAAAAATACATCTCGGACCCAATCATCCTCAAGTGGCACATCCTGAAGGCTGGCCTCACTTCAAGGCTGGAGTATGCCTCTCTGCTCGATTTCTTGTTCAGGTCCTTCTTTAAATACACGTGAGTGCCTTTCGCGTGTTTGCCTCCTCCAGCTGTAGTGATTGTGAAAGTTCTTGCTGATTGAATATACGCTTTTAGTTGATGGAAGGTCCTTTACCACTTGGAGTATGAAAAGTGTGCCTGACGTTTGCCTATCAAGTAGCTTAATTCCATCTTCTTGTAGTTGTGGAAAGAAGCCACTAGATATCAGCCACTCCCCACAATTTTGAAGTTGTGGAATCTTTCCCAGATCCTTGCATGCTCTCTTCATTCTCTTCAATATTCCTTTACTAATTTAGTGTTCGCTTTTGGAATTTCATGCTGACCGCGAATGTGTCTGCCGAAGCGGAAATTACCGTGTTGCAAACACACTACGCAAATCAAACTGGCATGCGTCGCTGCCTGGTAATACACAGCTGATAAGCAAAAATTGAAGGAATTCAATGGAGAACCATGGATAGTTACCGCCAACGGTAAACTCCACAAGTGGCTTAGATATTTTTCCGTTCTGCTCCATCTCTGACAGAATTTGTTTTGCGAAGTCTCCGGCTTGTTTGACAGTCTCCCGGCTGGTAGCCCGGTTTGAAGCGATGACGTTAAATGTGGAGTTAACAAATTCTCACAATGGAACTTAAAATAAAGAGGATTTTGCTATCCTGTGATAATATCACGAACAATCAAGCGNCTTAGATATTTTTCCGTTCTGCTCCATCTCTGACAGAATTTGTTTTGCGAAGTCTCCGGCTTGTTTGACAGTCTCCCGGCTGGTAGCCCGGTTTGAAGCGATGATGTTAAATGTGGAGTTAACAAATTCTCACAATGGAACTTAAAATAGAGAGGATTTTGCTATCCTGTGATAATATCACGAACGATCAAGCGGTCCGAAGATAGTGGAACATGGAAGAAGTCGGGCTGCTCATCGAATGAGTGTCCAAAAATCCATTTATTACATGCTACCATTTATCTATTAGACTATGATCCTTTTATACAATCCAACCAATCCAACACAGCGAAAAGTAAGGGAAGAAAATATACAATACAAGTGAGCTAAATAGAAGGGAAAGCAACTCCACTCTAATAGTGGCCAATCTACCTATACATGTTTACATTGGCGTGCCCTATCCCGAGGTGTCAAGGTATCCCGCGGCTACACTAATTACAACGGCATAACCCGAGGGTATGTTGCACACGCACGTGAAACGTCGCAACCGACTGTCCCCTACAATTGAGCCATAAATTTGAACAACAAATCGACAAACAAACAAAACAACATCAATTCAAACAACAACAACAATATGCGTATGTACGATATAATACAACATACGATAAACGTATAACATATACGATAACAAGGCCAACAGCTATCATCGAAAGAAAAAGAGATCTTTCTGGTCAGGACGGTGATGAAATTACTGACGCCAACCGCTTGGCGGGCTTTTGTACCCCCGAAATCAAAGTTCACGATCGATTGCATTCGATTCGAAGATACCAGGGCTTCGACTCCTGCGGGAGTATTCAAGCGTCATGTGGCCTAATAGCAAGTTAGATAAATAGAAATATAAAGATAGATATATAAACAAGATAGATATATAAACACAGGCAAACATGATGACGTTCATATAAATTGACTACATTTATGGTTGCGGCGAAAGCGGCAACATATGTGTTCAAGAGCATCGCTACAATAATGGTTGAAAGTCTAATGCTAGGGCGCGTCCCAAAATAGGGCTGATCAACAATGCAAGGCTATCTTTATGCTTTATTTACACATTTGTATTTATGCTTAATGGGTACGGAAAAAGCGTCGAAAGTACGCGAGTCTATCAATACTCCACGAGTTGTTAGTCTCCTCAGTGACGGGAGGGCTCCAGAACTTGAAGGAGATGTTTGCAAGGGTCTATTTGTAAGGGTTTACGCCATTGCAATAAGTTAGTGGCGCGGGCTCAAGAAAGATAGCTACAATCTGCTGCTAAACGGATTGTACCGTAGGCCTGTAGCTGGGCACGACTGGCTGCCACCGAGCACGGCTTTACATGCCGAGTCTCAGGACAAGTAAGTATTAGGGACCCTAAGAAAAAGCGTAGGATTGTCAGCAAAATAATTCTCGCAGAATTGTAGGCCACTGTAGGAACTGAGACGAGGACGAATAGAAGGCCCCGTTTGTTGAGGACAACGGACTCCGCAACATCCGCATCCGCGTAAGAGCAATGTCGCGTTCCCTGGCCCAAGAAAACGTTATGGTTGAGTGGTTGTTCAAAGAGTGGTAGCACAACGCACTTCTGCAGAGGTTTTTGTTGCGATAGACCCGTTGAGTAAGCAGTCTTTTCAATTGAATGGTGCAGGTTACACTCGTTCTGGTAATCGGAAACGCTGACTCAAACATCTGCAGATACTGCAACTAATTTAACAAGTTCCCATTCAAATCAACCTTAGTCTAAGACTGTTAGGGGACCAAGGGGAATCAGTAGCGTTGCCTTTAGTGAATGCGACCTCACACCTCTACCGTTCTCACAACTGCTGTGATTAGAAAACACCTGTTTCATAACTGGTAGGAAACTTGAATAGGGTCAAACACGCTATTAAAACAACACCTTCCAATCGCTCACTTTTACGACAAGTTACAGAAATGCTGCTCAGAGACAACATATTACCAGTCAGTGCGGTGTTCAACTTTTCACTGCGCAGAAGGAGTGAATTTCTTTGTTTCTTCAAAGTCGCCTATTCGTTCTTCGAACCTAACGCATCAGTGCCGGATTCTAAGAGAACCATCTTATTCGACGACAGGGCGGGTACCACAGGATTCGAACAGGGCGGCCGTTACCATCGCCCACATTCGTACACACCCACCCATCGACACGCAAACGTCGCGAGAACCGTTTTCCATATTTGTACTCTTTCGTGTTGATTCGTGGAATCGGCATTTTGTGATTTACCTTTTCACTTATTAATTCACGCCCAGAGATTACGCTACATACTCCTTCCTGTTGTAACCCTGAAAACCTCTCTGATTCTTAGAGGATACCCAAGTGACTCACTCCCTAAATTGGCTATATATGGATTGCCCCTCATAGTGCAAAGACCATTTACACACGGCCCATGGGTCTTTCGAGTTTTACTTGTGGAGCTTTAGCGCCCTGTCACATACAACTGCTTGGTGCTACCGGAATGGGCGAGACAATGGGCAACGGCTCATCCTCTTTAGCTCATAGCAACTAATCGACTTGCGCACGTGTCGCATGGCCGCTATGGCTCGAAATCCATGGGGGCCTCATCGGCGTGATTTCTAGATGGATGACTTTTGAATGTCACAAAGCCGGCCATTGAAAAACAGTTGTCCGTCGCCTGGCGCTATACCAGATTTATTTGTATATAGATCTCCACTTTACACGGATACCATCCTCTGAAGCTCCCACATGCAGGTAATGTTTACTGCTAGGTTTTCTAATAGTACGACATTCAGGTTTCGGAATTTTTCGTGAAATTCGTACAATAGTTCATACGCGCGATCCTGACAGTACCAGTTGTTCAGTGCCCCGAAAAAACATTTCGATACCTGAATAAGTCTAGTTCGGGTTAGTGTTCAGGCGTATTGAGTTTGGGATAATCCTCTTCAGGACGATCCGGGAGGGCCACGTCCAAACGAAGTTGCATGATACTTTTCAACTGTGGTGTTAATTATACATTATATCATATAACTTAACTGATATTCATACACCGTAGTACAAAATAACGTTCCTCTCCTCACTCGCTGAACTCTTGCTTGTTTGCCTCTTCAACTTCCTACTGTATTTACTTTGTTTTTGATGAGTTATCATCTCTGGGCTAAAGCTGAAGGCGTAAATCGTTGAACCCTATTAGGGTCTAAAATTCTTTCGACCAGAATATCGGTGGTTTACTTATCGTTGAGGCGTAATTCGATTTTCCAATGTGGGCAGGACGTTCGGGTTTTGTTGCGCAGTGATTACCAAAATGTAATGTTGCGTTGAATACAACCCTTTTCCAGTCAGCAGTGTGATTATCGTTCCATTGCCCACCTTGACTGAAGGGGTAACTTGCCACTCAGAACAAGATCGTGTTCCCTGGGCGTCATTCCCCATGCCATTGCACCAATCCGGTACTATTCTGTCGATGTTATAGCGATGCTATTAGATTCGTAAAAATAGTACAAATAAAAATAATACGTTTAGGTGTTCGCCTGTCTTCAGATGGCCTCATTCCTCAGGCGATTTTTTGGTCCGAAGAAGCCGCGACTGACAAGGAAAGATTCGATTACCGGTCGAAATAAGACCTTGGTAAGTGACTCGTCATTCTTTGCCAAATGCACAACAATTTTGTGTCATAGTGAAAAGAACAACTGCAATTTCTCTCGGCGAACTGATAGGTCACTAGCAACAGTGCGAACTTTCTAACGGAAGTCATACCCCGTTACGGATTGACCTTGAACGATCCAGATAACGGCTGTGTGGTCGTGATAGTTTATCTGCGAATGGCGTTCTGCTTTTTCAACTCATCGCGTTTTTTCCTAAAACTTTGGATTTCACCTTCAACATCGGAGCCCTTCTTAAAAAATAGGCGGTGTTGTGGCATGCTGCTGCTCTAACGTGTGCATGGTGGGTGGTTTCAGGTCTGTCTGAGCTCACCAGACGCTTCCTTTTGGAGACTGGCAAAATGAAGGCAGACGGGCCTATGGCCATACTGTTATAAACACTGACGAGTCAAGCCAAATCCGAGAATCATTCAAATTGAGAGTAAGAACTTGGTAGGTACGATGGTTAGATAGTACTCCGTGATCTCTCTTGTTTGGCTCAAGCTGAGCTTCCTTTCTTTTTGAGAGTCCCTCGAGTTAAGGTAGAGTTTAGCCACGAAATATTTGGGTATGCACAGATATAAATAAACTTTCTGAACCGACAGAAACCCTCTAACTTCAACGGAACAAAAAATAGGCTGAAGACTCTGGATTTTCGTGAAATTTTTAGTAGATTTTTCCAGTTTTTCATTTTAATCTCTGGAATAAGTTTCCCAGTTTTTCCGTCATTCAAAGGCAGAGAGTGCGTTTGCGTTGAGAAACGAGACCCACATCTTAGATTCGCTGTCACATCGGCCAACGTCAACGTCCCTAGGGTGATGTTCATCACGGCCTCGCTATGATTTCTGGATTCCCCCAAAGATCAGCAAAAAGGATAGTGGAGTGTTAAGAGAAGAAGTTCCGCTTCAATGCTGCCGCCCCTATAACAAAAGTAGAAAGAAGAAAGTACTGGGACATGCTGATCTTTCTTTGGTCTTGGTCTTTGTTGTTTGATTTTTGTTGTTAAGAGTAAGGGATAAAGTCTTCAGGCGTTAATCAATGCCATTCGAGGTATGCGCCCCGCATTCGGCTTCCATTCAGACTCGTAGTGGTGGATTGAATGCGTATGTGGCCTATACAATGACTTATGATGGTCAACCGCTGTACAAGTCAGTGCTTTTATCCTCCCGGACAAGTGTGGTACCACTTAACCGACCTCGGATGGATGGAAGGCTTGATTGTTCTAGGCGATTACGGTCCGGGATTCGGACCCGTGACCATCCATGTGTCCACCACTTACCGCTACACCACTTCCGCCCTATTTTTATCATTAATATTGTTGATTCTTTTCTCGAGAACTGAAGTTTTGTTCCTTTTGTTGACTCAGCTGCCATAAGCTGAAACAATCTTAGGAATGAGAAAACTGAGGAGTCGGCAGATGTAGAATATTGCAGGGAATTCAAAGAGTTTCAACCAAAGTATATTCGATTCATTTTTAATGAACTGGTAGATGCACTCGGGAAAGAATTCTATGCATTTAGTAATTTTTCTGTTATGCAATATTCAAAGCAGCCCTCATTCCTGTCTGTTAGAGTCGGTTCCAACGCAACGGCTAAGAAACTAAACTCACTANTGGGTGTGTCAGATCGGAAAGCGGCCTAGATAGGGCGTAATAATGGCTCACAAATTGTATCCACTATGTGCTACACCCAAAAAGGACGAGTTTCAACGGCATCGCGGAAGCTGCGTTTTTCACAAGGGACATCAATGTTGGAAATTTGAACGCTAGTTATGATCCATGGCGACACTGGAAGGCTACTTTGGGCATTTTGGCTCTATGTAGTCAGCTCTTTACGCAATCGCGACAGCTGAAATCTCGTGCAAATGCCCCTTCCATAGCATTCCTTTCATGCTGAGCTCGTGCGACCTCTACTCTCACCATTTTCAAGAAGCCTTATATTTCATGGATTCTCATTTTTCACGATTTTTTCGCTTTCTTCGAAACTGTAGCACACTACCCTTCAATAACACTTCAGTTTTTCTGTCTTTGTATTGTTTTTGGGATTGACTGGGATGCCCTAGTCGATGAAGCACATCAACGTCAGGAGCCGTTGGATGTTCTTTCTTATGTCTTCAAACGGTTCAATCCTTTATGGTAATATTCTTACAATAACATTTTCGGGTACAGGACTATGCGGTTATTCATTCTTTCGATAATTTTTGAAGTGTAGAGTCGCTTTCTTACTTTCAATAACACTTTGTTGACGAGGAAAGAAAACAACCACAAGTGATCAATCAAAATAACGACAACCCGTCATATTCGACTACCAACATTTTTTCAGTAGGGTTATGAATTCTTCACAATAAAACAATCAAGCAAGTACATATCACTATGTGAATGGTAACGAAAATCTTAGGGCCAACCAGGTCTTCTATCCTTTCGGGGTCGGTTAATTGGTACCAGACTCGTATGGGAGGATAAAAGCACTGACTTGTACATTGGCTGATCACCGCAAGTCAATGTACAGTCATTCTACTGCATTGTCATTGTATACGCTTTCAATACGCCACCACGACTCTGAATGAAAGTCGAATGCGTGGGCGCATCGCTCGAACGGGATTGATTAAAGCTTTATCCTTACCGAAAAAGATCCAAAGCAGTGTCCAACAAGTTGCAGGGTACTTTGAATACGGCCAGAAATTTCTGCTACTACCGATAGTTGAGCATAAACTTCATTTTTATTCCTACCGGTTAATTTATCAACTTCGGTAACCTAGCCGTAGAGTTTTATCGAGTAGGTTCGTTGGAATTGCGACAGTTCAACGTGAATTTGTTTCTCTCATTCACGTCACATTCCAATTGTAAAGTGAAGGAACGTTCGAAAAAAAATGAAGTACTAGTGGAAACACAAGTTTGTCATTTCTAAGGAATCAATGATTACACAAAATATTTCCTTTCACTTTTCCTAACTCCAATCGATTGTCATTCTTTTAGGGCGTTCCATACCTTTCCCGACTGGAAGGCAATCAACTACAACCGGGACAATCACTAATTGTTAGAGGAGTGATAACAGGTTTGTCATCCTTTGCATGAGATCAAAGTTCGTTTCTACTGGACTTCCCTTTACGCCATTCCCTTTACTGGCCATTTACTCGAAGTTAGTTTTGGGGAAGCTCGTTTAACTGTAACATCTGTTGTCATCTTAATGCTGACAACCATCAGCCCACACAACCTTATCAACGATGTTCTAAGCTAATGAGCAGAAGAAAGACAGCCTTGATGACTGGTAGTGAACCGGTTCTCGCAACACCGTCGTACACCTTAACACATCATCACACATCGACTTATATACCCACCTGGTGTAGTCAACGGGAAACGACGTAACCATCAATAGCGAATTCCATCGAGTGCGGGAATCACCAGCGAATCGAGAAAAACATGAATGTCGCGATGAATCCCGAAAAAGGCAAAAAGACAACGTCGGCAAGGTGATGCCGTTCCAAAACGATTCGCCAAAGAGACGGGACGTTTATCCACTCAAGTTCAGAACAAGCACACCGGGCTTTCCCGACTAATTCCTCTGGTCAACTGCGGACACCCTTATTCTCCATCAAAGAATTAGGACGTCTGAAGGGGAACACGTGTGAATACAACTGAAATCTTCTGCTATCTCGCCCCATATGAGCAGATGAAAGGTTTTTTGGCTATCATTCGGTACCAACGCCTATTATCTATGGTACAAATCGAGGGAAAAAGGGTCACGATATTCAGAGTTCAAGTTAGGCCTCAATTTCAGGAAAGGGGTTTGAAGTGCTTAATTTTTCAATTCTCTTCGTTTAGATCAACTTTTTGAAGATATAATCTACAGTTTCATTGTGCCACTACTCCATTTACTCTCTACGCCTTTATATTTCAGAGCTTCGACGGCAAGATGGTTGCTATCCAATATATCCTTTGTTTATATCCCTATTAGCATTCTGTGTAACTAAGGGTGATATACGATTGCTCGTAATGTGGGCATAACTAAGTATCTAACATGATTTGGAGCTTCAACAAGCATCTTCCTAGTGCTATCTGTAGGTTATGTGCTATATGACGCTTTTGTACACGCACAATCCCAGAGTCGGATTCCGGCTTGATACCTGGCCAACTGGGATTTCACCCTATCTCCTAATTGGTGATAGAGTTGTCTGGGTGGGTAGAGGCACTGAAATGGACATCGGCTGACCACCGCATTTTATTAAGTAGGCCACATAAGCTTTCGAAGTCACTACGATTTTGAATGGAAGGCATGTGGGAAGTGCATCTCACAAATGGTTTCGGTCAACGTGAAGAGACGTTATCCTTCTCAGACCTTTGGCCTAGACCTCCTCGAGTTTTCTTTGCGGTTGCCTTTGCATGCTTACTANGTCAACGTGAAGAGACGTTATCCTTCTCAGACCTTTGGCCTAGACCTCCTCGATTTTTCTTGGTGGTTGCCTTTGCATGCTTAATTCTGTTGTTGATGACGACTAGTGTGTTATTATGGGAACGAGTTCATACTGTAGGATTCTTTTCCAGACAGGCCGCTTTACTGGCTTTAAACTCATAAGCCGGCGAAGAGTAGATTTTTACGAGAAGAGGTGGGCGAGGTATGGGGTGGAAAGAGGATGTAAACTGTTCGAAGAAGGCCGAGGGTTCGTAAACTCTTTTTCTTCAAGTACCTCGTTCCCTAGGCTTTCTGAATAGAAGGTTATTCCTCATCTACAAGTACCACTACTGCTCTCTTTACCTTTTGAACCCAGCACCATACCCTGTGTGGAGAACTATTCCGTCTTCGGAATGCGAAAACAATATCTTTGTTTAAAATTAAAGTTAAGTTCCCTATTTGGAGGCCTTCCTATGGATTCAGCGTTTGATGGACCAACTTCATTTGTTCGCTACTTTATGATTTTTCTCCTTTTTGGAATTGATCCCATGAGCTTTATCCCTCTCTCTATTCTTGAAGATGCAGTACTGTAACACTCTAGGTGCTCACACCAACATAAGGATCATCAAATAAGTAATCAAATAGGTTCTTTGGCAAATACGTTCAAAATTTATCTTGGTCTGTTCGTAACGGCACTGTTAACCTTCAACTGGAGCCGTAATGGCAGGCTATAAAACATCTTACAACCGCTAATGCTTTCCCTTGGTTACCGATGCTCGTAAGGGCGATGTCAAGTATGGTAAGACATGAACCTTCCAGATGAGGGAACATTTCCGTCTTCCGTCAAATGGGGACAACGAACTGATTAGAGTGCGTAGGGAGGTCGCTTTTCGGAGCCTCCTCAGGAATGATCACCGCATCCTTATTGCTTCGTTGGGGCTACATTCTGACTTGATATAAGGTACAACCCAGTGTCTGAGGAAGTATCGGTGCCCAAAATTATTGAGATCATTTCGCCGATGACAGCTTTTTTCAGGAACCGATTCCTTCGTGGTCAACTTGACGTCTGGTCCGATCGTCGAAGCAGAAGAAGGCGGAGAAGTAAGTTTTAAAGAGATCGTTACTAAAATTCAAAGCTTTCATTCCCAATTTTAGATTCTCGACAATCGACTATTGTCCATTCGATGCGATATCAGTAAAAATAGGATTTGTTTCAACGCGTGTGTCGACGGTGAATGGGGGAAGTAAGTACCATTTACGCTGACTATAAACGCTTAGAAAACAGTGC